CCAAAACACACAAACCCGACATCCCTATAAGACCAATATTATCGATGGTCAAATCACCCTTCCATAAACTTGCCCGCTGGCTTACTAGATGCTTGGAACCAATCCGCAAAAAACTAGCAGCCTACAGTTTGAAAGACAGCTTTGAATTTGTACAAAAACTTGATAACCTTAATATCTCTGACAAATTCATGGTTTCATTCGATGTCTCTTCGCTTTTCACAAATATCCCCTTGGAAGAAACGGCAGAGATCATATGTGAATATCCAGAACTCCTGCCTTTACCACCCCAGGAATTTAAACAGCTTTTGTTTTTGTGTACAAAAAACATACAATTTAAATTTAACAGTGTTCTGTACCGACAGATTGATGGAATAGCAATGGGCAGCCCTCTAGGCCCAATTCTTGCCGACATATTTATGGGACATCTGGAACAAAAGGAACTGAAGCACGCAATCGGCAGTACCACACTCTACTGCAGGTATATGGATGACACGTTCCTTGTCTGCAAAAATCGTCAACACTCCATGTACCTACTTAGTCTGTTCAGTAAAGTACACAAAGATATAGAATTTACCATAGAACATGAAGTTGATGATAAATTCCATTTCCTAGATATTGGAATTAGGCGAACACACTATCTCCATGTAAAAATTCTATCACAATTTTGGTTTGTAAGCAGCTGACGAGAAACCTCGAAATAATATGAATTCATACTATTCTGCATCAATGTTTGTTCTTGCTCTATTTTCCATGATGGTCTAGCTTCACTTGACTCATGATTTCAACTATTGAAATTTCTAAAAATCTCCACAAAACCCCTTCGGATGATGATCTGTCAAACCATTTATAATTACTCACTTCAAGCTGTTATTGAAGGTATGACAGTGAATTCTCCTTAAGACCAACCCTAATTTAGCAATCGTGTCGAGTAACAGATATAGATAGATTTTCAAAAATTTTCGTTTTTTAATCTGAATGGTTTTCATGCGGACCTTTAATGTATAATTTAGATGATGTTAGTTCTTATTACAAAATAAATAGATTCAGAATATCAATGAAAGACATGAAACCCAAGAGAAAAGCTGACGTAGTTTTAGGTCACCACCTGCTTGTAGTCAAGGTAAGATTGATGATAAAGAAGTATTGGACAATTAAAGAAACAACATTACAAAAGTTCAGTACAGCCTTTTTTCGAGATGATGATAAGCTCTACGAATTCAGGAGGTCCTAGCAACAGCTTTTAAACCATCCAAAACCTACTAGAAGAAGAAACTACTATGGAGCACAACTTTAAAGGGATTAAAGAAGCACTAACTTCAATGTGTCACGAGGTTCTGGGTCATAAGAAGCATCATCATAAGGAATGGATCTCTGTGGAAACCTTGGACAAGATTCAAGAAAGGAAAAAAAGAAGGCAGCAATTAAAAGCAGTCGGAAAAGAACAGAGAAAGTCATTCCATAGACCAAATACACAGAAGCGAACAAGCAATTGAACAAGTACATTGAAGCTAACAAGCAGAAATACGTGGAAGACCTAGCAATGACAGAGGGAAAAGCTGCAACAAAGGGAAATATGAGACGCCCATACGATACAGCGAAAAAACTAGCAGGGCTGAGCGACCAGTCAAGGACAAAGGAGGCAAGCCAATCACTGAAATTTAAGAGCAGTAGAATTGCATATTAGAACGCTTTTAAGAGCTCTTGAATAAATCAGCCTCATTGAACCCACCGGATATCGAAGCAACACACACAGACTTCCTATAGCCGTCACTTCACTAACAATCAAAGAAATCATCATATCCATATCAGCTGAAGCACTGAATTCAGACATAGAAATAACTGTAAAGATGCTCCACATTTTATTCAGGTAGAATTGGGAAAAAGAATAAGTGCCGATCAACCAGAAAGAAGGAAATCTCATCAAGATACTAAAGAGAGAGTGTGTGAACTACAGAGAAATTACACTACTGCAAGTACCAGGAAACTTTCTTATCAGAGTGTTCTTGAATCAAATGAAAGATTCAGTAGACGAACAATTTGAGGTCGACAGGTTGGGTTTTGTAAGGATCCTGACATTACGGATCATCATTGTGTTTATTTCATGAACGTCACTCTGTTTGTCTGGATTTGCCTATAGGGCTCAGACCAACACCCATTAACTTCATAAACTAAATCCAAGGACAAATTATCTTCTTGCACGACAAATGTTTTTCATTATCCCAAAAAATTAATGAAATTTCCGTTTTTTCTTTGAAGCAACTTACCGTTTTTAACACACACAAATGTTCAGTTTGCCCAGAGCGATAATTAAAAACTGTTTAGTAATTTCAAATCATTTCCTTTGTACTTAACATGCTATTCGGATCCAATTTATTTTATTCATGACATGTATAGGATCATTTTAATTATCTCCCAGTTACCCACTGATGAAAGAAAAACTCTTAAAACACATTCTATGTACGATAGGATTACATTTTCTCTTCTTCTGTTGTTATTGTTTGCATTCTATATAAATCTGCTTTTATTTGATTAAATGGATAAAGTCTAAGCTTTGTATGTGAATTTCAATAAACAATGTAAAGTGGATCTTTAAAAAAACGTGTTAATTTTATGCAAGTGTAAAACACTTTAAACATGCTTCATTTGTTAATGACAAACAAACTTGTATGGGATTTGAAAGAAACAAGTAATTTCATTGTTTGATCTGTTATTGGGAAATCAGAATCTACGTTTAGTCTAATTAATAATTCAAATCATGAACTGATTGATGTTAGACCACTATTGAAAACCTCGAAGCATTGAACGACCGTTTCGTCCTATTGTGGGACTCTTCAGCGGTACACCTTCACAATCCCTGATAGCGGGATTCCAACAATTAACCTCTAGACTATTGAGTTGGCATCCAACGGTGTTAGTGTCTAACCTCAACCAATCTGCAAAATTGCGCTACCATTTTCGATTATACTGAGGTAGATACCTGTCTTTACCCGACATGGATTAGCTCTATTGGTCAGGGCTTCTTATTAGAACTCCGAGAATTCCCATCCAGTGCTTCCAGATTTTCAGTGGTGGTCTAATATCAATCAGTTCATGATTACAATCAAAAACTCAATAATCTCCACAATCCTATACTGATAATAATTCAAACTCTACTCATCATTAAATTAGTATGTATGTAGTTGGGTAGAAAAGTGTTTAGTCTAAGAAGTATATTTCGTCCTGTTCGGAACTCATTAGCTGGATTTATCTGTATCATGATGGTGATGCTCATATGGGGATTCGTAAATATCTGAGAATATCGGAGTTATCCACTCAGGTTTCCCACATACCAATTCCATTTTTTAAATAAGTATAAAGATACAAATACTTATAGACTCTTTTTATACAGTTTGAATGAATGAGAACGTATATGAACAACTCAGTTGTTTCATTACATACTAAATCCTAGAGTTGAATAACACATGTATATTACACTCAGAATTAAACATAATTAAAATGTAATTTTAATGTTTGAGATCATGAGTCAACCGAAACTAGACTACCATTGAAAACCTGGAAACACCATTTCGTCCTATTGTGGTACTCCTCAGCAGTCCGCATGTCATGAAGCTGTCCTATGAGTTATAAATAATTTTTAACGGGGAATGCCTAGACTATGTACCCTATGTACCACAGATGATATTTATTTATTTAAGATTTAGGTACTAATTAGCTACTTAGATGGATCATGTTGAACTTTGAATAAGAATACTTTGGGATTATTAGTTTATTCCTTTGTTGTTGCTTTTAAAGTGAACTTTAGTAATGGATGTGAATACTGGTTTATCAGCTTATAACTAGACTCAGTGGAATAAATAACTGTTAGTTATGCAATCATCTCTTAGTCCATTGAGATTTATTACTGTTCACTGACGTTTTGGTGGATTTTCGTCTTCTGAGCCCGGTACTTTAGCGCTTAAGCTTTTATTGTCACCAAAAACGTCTTCAGATAGAATAAGACTAACTAAATGTTTCCACATTTGACTGATACCTTTTATCTTTTGACCTTGATTTTAATCGTTTAATGTTAGTTTTTAGCTCGTCATTATCTACATATTTAGTTTGATTATGAACAGACTTGTCGTCCAAAACATTTTGACTAAATCACTCGGTACATTGAAGTATTCAGGTTCGAAACATTTAGGTATTATGAAAAAACGATCTAGAACAGAATTAAGTAACGCTATTCTTTCATCTCTAGTATCCTTTCGTAGGAGTTTTACTTATACTTTTTCTTGAGTCATATGATTTCAGATTTTTTTACCTGTTTATAATGCCGACATTTCATTTTGTAAACCGTATTTCTTATCGCCTTATTACTTACTAACCTTACTAGCACATGTTACTTCCAGTTGAGCGTATGCCGTTGACCATCATTCTCCAACCCACTCTGTCCTCGACCTTCCCTTTTAGTTCTATCCAACTGTTGTTCATTCTTCTCATGTTTGTCCCTATTTCTCAGTGTAATGTGTTCTTTGTTCTCCTACTTCTCCCTTGACCTTGAGGATTCCAAGTGAAGGCTTGCCTTGTGACTCAGTTGAATGTTTTCCTCAATTTATGTCTTATCCACTTCCAGAGCTTCTTCCTGATCTCTACCTCTGTTTGAATCTGGTTTGTTCTTTCCCATAGTAGACTACTGCTGATAGTGTTTGCCTTATTGTATAAAGTCAATTGTATTTCACATATTATAATAATATTATAATAATAAAGTAACTTAGTAAAAACATGTTTTTGATGGTTCATGTAAAAGTATTTTAATTAAATTGTTTTCTTAAGTTTACTATTTACATCAACTGAAAACAAAGTAACTTGTTCTGTATGACCTCTCAACATATTCATTCATTTATAAACAGTAATAATGATACTGATAAACGATAGACAATGTAAACAGATGGTAATAGTTGGTATACAAAATCTTTTCTCTCTTTTCTTTTCTTTTCCTTTCATATCTGTTGAATCAGGTTGCTGTTGAAGTACGTGTAGTATTTTTAAAAATTGGTGAAATTGATACATTGAAAGAATTATATTATGCTGATGCATTTCTTCAAGCCAAATGGAGAGAACCAAAACTTGATGGACATACAGCTGAAGTAAGTGAATGACTATAGTGATTATAGTGATAATTTTAATGATATGTAAAATCGATAATTTAACATTTTTCTGTCTTATTTGATTCAACGTTTCTATTGTCTCATGAAGGTGTGACACAAGGAGCTGTTCTTGCATTTCTTTGTTTTCTCTTTTTACTTCTGCATGATCTGCTCTGTTCTGCAGAAAACACTTTTGTGAAATATGCGGAAGATCTCATTGCCAATTTCTACCCCTTTACATCCCAAAGAAATGAATGAGTTTTTTTCTTGTGTTGAATGATGATCTGTTGTTATTGGACTCATACTTAATCCATCTGAATGTCGAGCTGTTAACTTTAGCCTGAAACATGAACAGCATTTAAACATCGTGTTAGGGTCCCATAATGATTGTACCATTCCTGACTATTTGATAAACACAGTGTCGAATGTCAATTATCTTAGTGTTATCTTTTCCTCTGTTCTCTCTTGGTCTTCTCATGTTTTACTGTTATCGAAGAAAGTTTTCCGTCTCACTTACTACATAAAGAGACTGCATGCTTTTGGGATTACTCGTCATTTACTCTTACAATTTGTCAGTTCCTGTATAATAATTATTATTCTTTACTGGTCTCCATTGTTCTTTCCTGGGCTTTTGAGAAAAGACTTTGCTGTATTGCGAAGAGTGCTGAAGGTAGTTAGTAAGGTGTGTGGTGAATGTTTTAAGGTGATCATTAATATGGTTGTGGATAGAAATCTAAAATTTTGCAAACTCCTGGCAGGTGTTATCTTATCAAATACTAACTATCCTCTTCATTCACATCTTTCTCCTTGTATATCTGCTGGTAGAACGAGACGTCAATATATTAAAATCCATGAACGCAAGCTAATGTACAAAACTTCTATAATACCCTACTCAGCAAATAAACTCTGTGACCAAAAGGTTGTTACAGTTAACCTATTCGATAAATATAAATAAATAGTATATTTGTAATATCTCAATGAGTAGAAAAATTAGATTTTCTGGCGTTTCGTGACTTAGTGTAAGTCACTTCTTCAAACAATAAATAACCAAATTAAAATTAATCCAAGTTGTACAGACTTAGGTCCTTTATTCACCGTTTTCTCTCCCTTTTTTGTTTCCAGTTTTTGTAAAATAAACTTGTTGAAATATCTTGTGCTGTGAATTCTCTATTGTACCAAAACTTAATATTGAATAAAGCCAATAATAATAATGTCGCTCAATTTCGTGGATTGGTTGAAGTTAGGCATTAACACTGTTGGATGCCGGCCGGTTCAGTGGTCTAGTGGTTAAGCGCGAGACTGGTAAGTCCTGAGTTGGAGTCCCGCGAGGCGGGGTCGTGGATACGCACTGCTGAAGAGTCTCACAGTGGGACAAAACGGCCATCCAGTGCTTCTAGGTTTTCCATGGTGATCTAGCCTTTATTGACTTATGATCTCAACTATTGAAATAATAATAATAACACAATAATAGTAATAATAATAATAGTTACTATATTCACAGACACATCGTCCGTATATTGCGCATCCCAATGTATTATTTATATCACTAGCACAACAGTAATTATTTTCTAGTTGAAATCAGTTTCTGACGTAAACTATATTTAAGTCGAGTAACCGCCATACATTTACCATAATGGTAATTAACAGTTCACTAACAAATTAATTCGAGAAGAATGTCTGAAGTCTCAACTATGTCAACAGTCAGATTGCTGGAATCAATAATCGAAAATGTAGACCTATAGATTCCAAATCAATTTGAATAATGAGATGCTGATGTGAAGTATTGAAGGTCGTGTATAGGCACTGCTGTGGATTTCCATGGTAGAAAAAGATGTCTGTTCAGTTTCTTTTTTTTGACTATCACTCGCAGCTTAACTAAAATAATTCCTCGATGTCAAGTCATGGTAATTTACTAGAGCCGATTAAACAATATTTATATTGAAATAAACTGGAAGTAATCTTTACCATCGAGTGATATCAAATATCAAACTATTTTAAAGGCCTCAGAAAAACTGGTTAGGCATTTCATAGTAAATTATATCACTGATCTTTAGAATATGTTGATCTTAAGAAATCACCTCATAAAGGAGGCTCAGTTTTTTTATTCTTTGTGTAACATATGTGTCAGATATCTCTATATATGTCTGTGGGACTTAAAGTCATAGCACATAGCTATACTGTTAGTAGAGGGACTAACATTAATTAGTATTTATTGGCCTTATATTCGACTCGTTTGATTGATGTCGATATACATATCGTCAATCCTCGTATATACTTATCAGCTTAGGTCGCGTTAGTGAGTGATGGAATTAAATAAGTCGAATATGAGAATGGATCTTCGAATACGTGTATTTCGTAAAATCACTGATCTCGACAGACAATCAGAGGGACGTAGTGAAGGAAGGGAAACAGAGACAGCGAAGCAAAAAGACGAAGTCGTGTGAGCCAACTCCACTTAGTCACAAAAATAAGCTACAAACATGTGATGAATAGGATAAGAAGTGTACATACACGTACGCTAATATAAGAACAGTCTTGGTTAATAAGTGAATAATTAACAAGGTTAAAACGTGACTCAAGAAGAACGGATAAATTGGCCTATTTAAGAACCTAGAATAAGTTATATGGGCTTAACATAGTAACTAACACTACAAATCTTGACTGAACTATATTCAGAAATGAACTTTATTTTAAAGTACATTTGATAAACGGAGAAAGAAACTAAATATTTAACTTTTTCCTAGTCTTTTCTTCTAATCTTAATGGCAACGTTTCGAAATATTTTAGTCTATCCATTATGTGTTCTCTTTTGTTTATTATTTTAGGAATTAAGTATTACTGAATTGGAACAATATTGGAATCCTTTATTGTATATTGATAATATATTAAGTGAAACAAAAGATACTCAATGGATAATGGCTGTACGAAATGAATATGGTGAAGTTTATTTAATGGAACGTAGACGTATTAAAGGTGTATTTTTAGAAACTTTAGAATTAAATGATTTCCCATTAGATGTACAGGTTAGTTATTATTAAATTTATGTTATATCTAATGCATTTCAAGATGTATTGACATGATAAACTTAATGTTCTATACACTTTTGAGTTCTAATTTAACATTCTAAAAGTAGTAGATTTGTCCTGTGTTATAAATTGTAGCCTGTGTGCCCTGTTAATGTATAACGTGATGATACTGCCAATTAGAGAGCAGTGACTTATCGATTAGAACAGTGAGCAGTCTAGAGTACTTATCGGTCCTACTTCCTGCCTAGCTCAGCCAGTTAAGTTCAGAACACCAATCTCAGCCTCTGTGATATGAATCATTTATTTCAAGCATACTGGGTTTATATACCAACCAGACAGACCACATCATACCATAAAATATGAAACAATATTTGTTCAAGAATTAGCCAAATGTGGCTGTGAATGAGGGAGGTAGTGATTAACAGACAGGGAATAATTCAAGAATGGTAACTCGTAGAATAATAGTTCATAGGTCAAAATAAAGCTTATTATAAGAGGAATATGAATATGAATAGTTTAGTTATTTAACAGTTATACGAGAAAAATATACTTATAGTAATGGTCCATAAATGGATCCCGAAAGTTACCATTCGTTATGCTTATCGGGATATAACATCCTGGAATTTGTAGCTTGTATATGTAGTATAAACTAATGATTTTACAACTTGTGTTTCACTTTAACAAAAACTTTCATGAACTACTTTGGGTTTGTTTATCTTATCGAAATCTTGTGTCAAAAAGAATGTAAATTAATTGTTTACTGAGAGTTGGTCCAATCCATGGTGTTGATCGTATTCAATGGATTAAATAAAATTTTAGGTATTAGTCTAACTAACTTTTTACTTCATGCAGTATGTTGAGATGCAAGATGGAGGTAGGAGGTAATGTGCAAAGAAACTTACACCTTTGTTTTGTGCAAGCTAACAGTTTTCACTAATTTGTATATGTGATCTTAAGGGACTTGATGCTCCCTATGTGATTCGAACCATAATCACCCAGTGTCTTGGTCTTAGATTTTACTACTGATCTACTCAGGTTGTGAATGACCTCCTGTAGAACAGAGATGTTTGTAATGATTGATCACTTACTAGTGGCTAACACCATGGTTATATCGGACACCGAACGTGAAAACATGGTGTATATAACATCAAGTCACTTTGACTAGCAACTACATTACAATCTGGATCATTTAATCTGGTCAGCTCTAAGAAATAAACCTTCAAGCAACTAGCAGGAAAATATGTTCCATAATAACATCCAAACACGGTTGCAAACTAAGGTCTTTTTTATTTTTCATACATGTGAACATTAGATAAACCTTCATTTTGAATTACTCACTATACAAGATTAAAAGTATTGAATGTCTTAGATGGTGTTTTTATTCATCAACTTTAAATAACTTCAATCATTGAAATTAAAAGAGATTAATTATATTTACCCCTTGTTAGATATTTTAATGCTTATTGGTTTTGATGGAGTTTTGTTCTCTGAGCTGGATGGTTTAATCGTGGAGCTTTCATCCAGCTCAGAGAACAAAACCCCATCAAAATCATCCACTTAAGTTACAAATCTTCTCCACAATCTCAATACTTATTGGTATATTATCATTTAATATCACTGCGTTGAAAATTAGATTTGGAAATGACATTTACTTAGAGAGGATTATTTACTCCTTTGAATCGTCAGTAATCAATGTAAAATAGAGTAATGTGGTACAATTTAATGTCCGAACAAAGATTAATGTAAACAGTTGAGATCGTGAGTCAATTGAAGCTAGACCACCATGGAAAACCTGGAAGCACTGGACGGCCGTTTCGTCCTATTGTGGTACTCCTCAGCGGTGTTCATCCACAACCCCGCCTCGCGGGATTTGAACCAAGGACCTATCAGTCTCGCACTAGGCGCTTGACCACTAGACTACTGAGTCAGCCGGTACCCAACGGTGTTAATGTTTAACTTCAACTAATCAAGTAGTTTTTATAAACTCAGAGTAAGTAATGACAGTCAGTGTGGAACAATGTCACATAGCCGTAGTAACTCAATGACAGTTTTCATTTATATGATGGTATGAAATTTTAATACGATGACATGCGCATATGTAAACAATCATGATAAAGAGAAACTAGATTGTATTAATGAGTATTATGCCTATTGATTAGTGAGTATCTTCGTAGTAGTATTTATCTATAGGCATGACCGATATGCTAATATTCTAATCAGATGGAACAAATACAATATTGAACAAAGTCATGAGTAATAATAATAACAGTTGTCTCAAGTATAAATCATTTATAACTGTGTGCATTGACTATTTGAATCAATGTAGTAGGCACGATTGAAAATTTGGCGAGACTATAATTTATGGACAAACCAATCAGATATAAGATAACAGGTCTCAAATTCTGGCGCGAAATTCACTTATCCATTTGGATAAATAGAGTTTTGGCATTATAGATCATGTCAGTTTGAGATGAAAACCATAAATCTAATTCCCTAAGCCTTACCATCAACTGAACACTCTCAAGGTCACTTTAGGATCACCCAAAAGTCCTCTATAAATTATAGTCTCACCGAAAATTCTAATGTTCTTTCATCAAATTACTATTAGATATTATTATAATCTGATATGATCTGTTCCTCATAAATTAAAGATGTCATGGCAAATTTTAATAGTAAAGGAAACAACAAAATGATACCAAACACCATCCTGTCCAATATAATTGATTAAGAAGGCTTTAAGTATTATTGACTTGAATTAGTGATACATTGGCTAAATTGATCTATATATGAATTTCTCTGTGTTACTGACGAGGTTTAATGATCAAGAAGAAGATGAATGAAATTTAAGAAGCAAACAACGATAAGACTAGTTTACATTGTATGAAAAAGTATTTATTATTTATTTATTTATTTGAACACATAAATATTGGTACAAGGGGGCACCAGATACATATGCGCCACACAAATCTCATTCAATATGGGTGAGGGCTGTGATACTGCCCGAGTGCTCAGACCAAAACAGGTGGTTTTCTTAGGGGGCCATATCCGGAGCCTTTGACCTAGAGGTCTGCTCCACAAGGCAGCGGAGCATCGTGAGGAGATACAGTCCCATAGTTCTCGGTGACCAACGATTGGTTCATACGCCATTTGTTCCCTCAGGGTAATGGAGCCCATGCGCACCACTGGTTTGGAATTGTGGTTTCCCAATTCCATCAGGTGGACTATCCGTATCCACCATCCTGGTTAAAGCACCGGAAATTCGCTTTTCGTCTTCTCAATTTCATAACCAACACCCCTGCCATGAGAAGGCAGTGAGTAGGACTGCCCTGACAGAAGCTATATACGCGTGGTTATGTGAGAGCATTTCGAGAGGGCGAGCTGACTCTCCTCACTCTCGGCAGTACCAGGGCATTTAATGTGTGCAATGATGACTTTACATCATGCGTTGAATGAAAGCATACATATATCCTTATAATTCGTGTCATTAACTTGACTAATTCAAATGACAATAGAAACAATAATCGCTCTAATCAATATGAAGTATTTGATTACCGTAATACTTAAAATATATGATTATCTGTCATAAATCTTCGGGAACAAACTCTGTTTAATCTTGATGAAGTTTTGTTCCCTGAGCTGGATCGTTTGATCGTGGAGCTTTCATCGTTCTTCTGAACGACATCATCAGCATAAACTTCAGGTAGAAGTGAAATGTTCGAATTTCTCCACATGCGGTTGACAACTTTAATCTGTCTAGTCATGGCAGTAATAATATTTAATTCATGAATAACAATGAATTTATTTTTTCTTTGGCTAAAACATATACGAGTAAGGGAATCTATGAACCACTTTAATGAATTAATGTTCAGTTGTAAGATTTTAAAAAGAGAGCTGAAATACATCAGGAGGTTAGATGGGTTACATTGTCCATCAAAGCAAATTCGAAAGTGAAATAAATTTTGTAATTTTTACAAAGTTGCGGGATAGAGGCTTTAATATTTGAATAAATCGTCAGAATTTGACTTTACTGTTGTTTCAGCTTTACCGGGAATAACGTTTCATCATTGCTCTTAAATGTGTTTTACTTAATTACGCCTGTTACTCCCAATGGAGCATAGGCCGCCGACCAGCATTCTCCACATGTGTTTTACAGAATTAGAATACTACTTGAGGATAATATCACCGCATAGTGGATTCAACTGTGCAAATTAAGGAGTACTAATCATTTACTTTATACTAGTATATCTCTTTAATTACCATCAGTCGATGACAAGAGTTATTTCCAGCCTAAAATAATTTTCAAAAACATTTAGCTAGATAAGGGTTATGTGTTCACTAGAGATAGACTTTAACATGGATTTTTATCGTTCTAGTATGGATTCGTGACTAGTATTATTTCATTTATACAGAGTATAACAGCAGCTTCCTTGAAGCTAGTCTTTATTGTCCAACCTGCGTCCAATGTATTTCACTGATTTCAAGCACATCCAGGTTGTATCTTTTCATTTCTGCAGCAATATGAATGACTCTCTCAGTCTCCTATTTTGTACTAGCATTTCATGTACCTAAATTAATGGTTGCTTTGGTTTTCACAAGAGGAATCAGCCTCGTGACTTCCGAAGGAACTCGGCTTTCACCATGAGGCGTCAAAACCTTTCTAAATGAAGACCTTCTAACTCCTATGGCAGAGTTTAAATGATTTGAATTATTTTTTTTCAGCAATTTAGTTTTCTACGGGATAGGATCACTAACCCCATTCCAAATCCTCCTTCTTTATCCGGGCTTGGGATTGGCATTATCCCCAGAGGGGTTGCTAACAGAGTTTCCAATTATTCATTAATGGATATATGATATATTAATATTAAATAACTATGAAATGTTCTCTGATTTGTAACATTTCTTCAATTACAGTTCTATCTGTAAAGGGGAACTTCTCACTAGAAACCACACACACAAAAAAAGAAAAGAAAATAATTTACTACTTTGTGTATAGTTTCATTTTTCTTTTTATTTACTGACTATGTTTAATGTTTTAAATAGTCATGGATACTGTAAATACAGTAGTGAATATAAATTACCGGTTAGCATAATAAAGTATAAATGTGTGTGTGTATATGTATGTAAATATGTACGTGTGTATGCATGTGTGTGTATGTATGTACAATATGAAATGTAACATCGAGCTTGTAATCTGTGTAAATTGTATGCATAATTTCAAAGAACAAATGGTAGATGGATATTTAACTTATTCTAAATACATTACAACAATGAATATAAATCCTATTTTCAGTTCAAGCATTGTTCTTTATGTTGAAACAGTTAGGCAATATCATATATTATGTAAAATATATCTATTATTTGATGAATGCTTTCTACATTACATCCCTTTTTGTAACAGTATTTGTTAAACTTTGGATAATAAGTTTAGTATCAGAAGGGGATTTTGTGGAGATTTTAGAAATTTCACTGATTGGAATCATGAGTCAATTGAAGTTAGACCACTATAGAGAACCTGGATGTCCATTTCGCTCTAGTACGAGACTCCTCAGCAGTGTGCATCCACGATTCCGCACCCCGAGAGACTCGAACCCAGGATCTATCAGTCTCGCGCCGGACGCTTAACCAGCTAGACCACTGAGCCGGCTGGCATCCAACGGTTTTAATGTCTAACTTCAACCCATCCACGAAGTTGCGCCACCGTACACCATTGTCTTCAGTGAGTTGATATCTCACAACAGACCTGATTGGACTCCACTGGTAACGCCGGGATCGAGGATGCGCACTGCTGAAAAGTCCCATACTAGGACGGAACGGCCGTCCAGTGCTTCCAGGTTTTCCATGGTGGTCTAGCTTCAATTGACTCATGATTTCAATCTGTGAAATAAATTTAGTTTTTACAAATTTATATATATGCATTCTTTAACTAGGTATAACCTTTGTTGTAACATCAAGTCTCGTATTCTGTTGATTTTCTGTTTATACAATGATTTATAAAACACGTACTTACATACGCCTGTTACTCCTCATGGAGGAGCATAGGCCGCCCACCAGCATTCTCCATCCAACTCTGTCCTTGGCAATCTTCTCCAGTTCTTTCCAGTTGTTATTCATATCTGCTTCCGAGTCCCGAAGTAGTTTGTTGTTCGACCTTCTTCTTTCCCGTTTCCCTTCAGGATCCCGGGTTAGGGCTTGCCTCGTGTACAGTGTGGTGATATCCACTTCCAACGTCTTTTCCTAATTTCCTCTTCAGCTGAAAGCTGGTTTATCCCCTCTAAAGAAGGCCAATGTTGATGTTATACAGCTAATGGATATTGAGTTTCTTGCGTAGATAACTATTTATAAATACTTTTTTTATGATGGTCGTAGTACTTCCCCACGTTTCACCTCCGTACAGTAGAATTGTCTTAACGTTCGTATTGAAGATTGTGACTTTGATATTGGTTGACAGTTATTTTGATTTCTAAATGTTCTTCAATTATAGAAATGCGGCACTTGCTTTGCGAATCCTCACCTTTATGTCTGAACCCGATCCTCCTTATTCACAAAACGCTAATACATTTTTTAAATATGTTGGTTGCATTTGTAAGCATCAGTGCCATGGTTGGACTTGGTAGTTCTAAATAAATTAAGAATTGTGTTAAGAGTAAATAATCAGTTATTTTGTGGCATTCTAATGAGTAAAAAGATTGTATATCTGACATTTCGTTACTTCACATAGGCCACTTCTTCAAGATAAATAAATAACTGAAATAAAATTTACACAAGTTTATTTATTTACTCTGAAGAAGTGACCTACATTAAGTGACGAAACGTCGGAAACACAATTTTCCTACTCATTAGGATACTACAAGAAAATATATTTGTTACTAACTGCATTTGTTATGCAATCTAAATTCTACCAAATAAATCTTACTTGTGAGATGAAACCTTTAAATGTTAATGATACATTCTAATCAATTTGTAAATAAGCAAAGAATATAAAGACGTCATTTAGAACTAATGAACTAATGCAAAGATAATAATTATTATTTTATATTTATCTAGAATGTAGCCGGTTGTTGGCCAATAGGCTTTCAAGACTCTATTTTATTGTTCAGTTATAAGGTATGATACTGTAATTAAATATAGAATCAAACGTTTAATAAAGTAAAAGGCTTTATTGAAGTATCGATCATTGTATCAATAGTTAACGTCTACTGACATTCTTGAGAAAGAGAGAGAAACTGCAAAGTAACTTTAACTTTTTAACGTTATCAATTAGTTTGTCGGCGTTCTAGTTTTTTTTCATTAAGCTCATCTCTAATCCAAACTCCACTTCCACTGATTTTGATATGGGCAATCAAGTTGTTTGATAACCCTTCTTCTATGCTTAAACAGTTTGGCTCGAAATTAAACATATGAATCCATATATTACCATAAACTACTTACAATTATTAGTGAACCCTATATGAAGTTCCAATTGGTTACATTGTTTCCCCATATAATTATAACTATTACTGTGCATAGATCTAGTGTGTTCTTCTTTCTAAGTTATCAATTCTTCCCCTCTATTTATCTAGGATTTAACTATTACTGTGACAACAGAACGACCTGATACAGAAGTTGATATTATTCCTGATCAAGTAGAAATGTCTGCTATCAATATACAAACATTTGTTGATCAACAAGTAAGTTTTATGAGTCATTACATATAACCTTATACATTTTAATGTAATTTTCTGGCTTGTTCTCTATTAACTAAATATTAAAATACGCGGAATTCACAGGCATAACCCAAATATCAGAAAGGGTTTTGTGGAGATTTTAGCAATGTTGATGGTTGAGAATATGAATCAATTGAAGCTAGATCACCATGGAAAACCTGAAAGCACTGGACGGCCGTTTCGTCCTATTGTGGGACTCATCAGCAGTGCTCACCCATGATCCCACCACGAGAGATTCGAACCCAGGACCTATCGGTTTTGTGTGTGAGCTGGCCGGTATACAACGGTGTTAATGTCTAACTTCAACTAACCTACGAAATTGAGCGACATATATGCTCACTAGTGACTGCCTTCAGTAGGTATTTCCTGGAGTTCTAATGAGAAGCAGTGAACAATGGAGTGCAACTGGGTCTGTTGTGAGATAGTAACTCACTGAAGAGAATGGTGGATATGTCGCCTAACTTGAAAATAGACATTAACATCGTCTGATGCTGACAAGTTCAGTAGTCTAGGGGCTAATTGTTTTCGCACGAGACCGACGGCACTGGATTCGAATCCTGCGGAGTGGAATTGTGGATGCGCACTTCTGTGAAGTTCCATACTAGGGCGAAATGGCCGTCCACTGCTTCCAGGCCTTGAATGGTGGTCTAACTTTGATCGATTCATGACCTCAATCAAATACTTAACAAAAATCTCCACAACTCCATACTGAATTTAAATCCAATAATCCAGATTTCCGAATATAATCAAGTCTACACTCTACCTATAACCTTACATGTATAGTTACCAGTGGAAAAATATCCCCCCCCAAAAATCCATAATTATTATTATTTATCGGACCCCCCCCACCTCATAAACGGATGTTTATCTTTAAAATGTTGTAGTAATCTTGTCCACATTCAAAATAATTGGGGAATCATTTGAAAAAAATTCTAATTCTTTCCTTTCTTTTCTTTAAACTTTTTTCTTCGTCTAATTTGCCTTCTTTCTACTGATCTGAACAATCTCATGAATCACTAATTAGTAATTTTGTACGAATCTCTTGATAAACAAATGGGTTGTTTATTTATTTTCTTCGTAATGGATAAACCAGTAAATAAATAAATTGAATTGTTTTCTTATAAAAGTTTAATTATTATAAGGGTAATTTAATAGTTGAATTCATGAATCAGTTGAAGCTAGACTACCATGCTCTCACCTGGCCACGCGTATATAGCCTCTGTCAGGGAAGTCCTACTCACTGCCTTCTCGTGGCGGCGGTGTTGGTTATGAAATTGAGAGGACGAAAATCGAATTACCGGTGCTTTAACCAGGATGGTGGACACGGATAGTCCACCTGATGGAGTTGGTAAACCACAATTCCAAACCAATGGTGCATATGGCCTTTAGGATCGTGAAGGAACAAATGGCGTATGAACCAATCGTTGGTCACCGAGATCCATGGGACTGTATCTCCTTACTATGCTCCTCTACCCTGTGGGTCAGACCGGATGTGGTCCACTATGAAAACCACCTGTTTCGGTCTGGGCACACGTGCAGTATCATAGCCCTCACACAAATCAAATGAGATTTGTGTGGCGCATATATATCTGGTGCCCCCTTGTACCAATATTTATATGTTAAAATAAATATATGAATAAATAAATAATAGACTACCATGGAAAACCTGGAAGCATTGGACGACTGTTTCATCCTAGTATCATACTTCACAGCAGTGTGTTCCAGCACGAGACCGATAGATCCCATATTCGAATCTCGTAAGGCAGGATCGTGAATACACATTGTTGAGGAATTCTATATTTGGATGAAACGGCCGTTTTGTACTTCCAAGTTTTCCATGGTAATCTAACTTCAATTGATTCATGAATTCAACTATTAAATTAACTGTAATATCCACAAAATCCCTCTGTTATTTATAAAACTATTCATGTGTATAGAAAATAAGAAAGAATTTTGATGTTTCAATAAATAGAATTAACCTATTACATAATCAGATTACAGTAAATATGAATAATTATAATGGTAAATGTAATATGTAATGCAAACATTTCCAAAATCAGATATTTCATACAAATCTCATCTTAGTTGTAGGCATAAATCAAATATAACATTCAATAGTAAAGATAATATCTAATATAGATTGAATGTAATGGTAAAGGTTCCCACTTATTTATGCGAAAACTTTGTACAATCTTAACTTACATTCAACTATTTACTAGATTTTAGTCATTTCAAAAGATTATTACCAAAAACAATCGCATTTATAATGTTTATTAGTGCTATAAGTATGAATTATACAGATCGTTATAAAATTCAAACAATCTTTAAAGAGTAAAGATGGATAATGGCTAGTAGTGGAATGCAGTTTGATGCGCGTTTCATCCTATTTGGGACTCTTCAGCTAGATGTAACTGCATCTTACAGTTAATGTCCACTCTGGGACTCGAAACCAGTAGCGTTTACTTCAAACGCCATCGCGTTAACCACTTAGCTACTGAGTCCTGATGGACACTTGTTTTTGCAATGGGGTGAAGTTTAAACTCACTTGGTGTTGTTTTACTTGTATTTTTCCATTGATATCATCATCAACTCTGGGATGCAGGTCCATCCAGCTGACGCGTCCCAAATAGAACGAAATGCGCGTCCAACTTGATTTCACTGCTAGCCACTATCCATCTTTGCTTAAAAAGCTGGTGAATTAAGTCTATATCGAGTCAATCTGCACAGGATGCACATATGCCGACATGAAACTGATCAATTGAAGTCCTAAATAACAACGGGATGATACAAGTAAAACCACGGCAAGTTAATTCAAACTTTTAAGAGATTTCTAAAACCTTATGTGTTCAAACCAGCCAAAAGAAGATATTATTTAATACAATATTTTATTTTATTTATTTAAATACATAAACATTGGTACAAGGAGGCGTCAGACAGATATGTGCCACGTAAATTGAATGATTTATGTGAGACCTGGGATACTACCCGGGTGTCCAAACAGAAACAGGTGGTTTTCTTAGGGGGCCACAAACCGAAACTTCGACCTAAAAGTCTAATTGACAAGGCAGTGGGGCAGCGTATGGAGATGCAGTCCTATGGTAGCCGGTGACAAACAATAGTTTCATATATCAATTGTTTCCATATGATCATGGAGCGCATGTACACCATTGGTTTGAAATCAGAGTTTTCCAACCCCCCTAGGTGAATCCTCCGTATCCACCAACTCGGTTAAAGAGCCGGAAATCCTCTTCCCCTCCTCTCAGTTTTGTAAACAACAACCCTGATGCGAGAATGCAGTGAGTATTTGTATGCACGTGGCCACTTGACCGCATTTCAAGAGGGAGAGTTGACTCATCCCACTCTCAGCCGTAGCAGGGCATTTGATGAAGGAAAGCAGAGATGACAAAGAGATGAAGATTTGTTGGATGTTGAAAACAAATAATTGGTACATCTCAATATGCTGATTTGTAAAAGTTGATCTACAACATCTCATAAAGTCATCTGATACGCTCACTTACGTAATATTCACTGAGGTGTATAGGTTTGGACTTTCTTATTACAGAATGACTTCAATTAAGCAACAACTGGAAACCATTTAGCACTAGAAAGTTTATTGAATCTGTTATGGAACTCCTCAGGAATTTGTATACACGACGACACGAGAAATTAAATCGAGGGCCTTTGAACCACTGAGTTACCATCCCGATGTATAAAATAAATGTATGTTATTTGGAGAAATATTTGTCTTACTTACTTACTTACTTACCTCTGTTACTCCTCGAAGAGGAGCATAGGTCATCCACCAGAATTCTCCATCCAATCCTGTTCTAGGCAATTCCTTCCAGTTGCTATTCATTATTTTGATATCTGCTTCTATTTCCCAACGTACTGTGATGACGTAGTGAAAGTTCATCAGTTGACATAGCTGGGACATGTGTTACGAATTGCCAACCACCGACTGCAACGACGTGCAATGTTTCATGGTGTAGGAGTAGGTTGGAAGAAAACTAGGGACAATCAGATCAAAACATGGGACAAATCCATGAAGTCACTGACAAGTGCATTGTGTGAGTCATGTTAGTACGTGGTTGAGGTCCGTGAGATGATAGCAACCGATGGTTGGAGACCTTGAATGAAATGGCTCAAAATCGTTTGTAATGGCGCAGGTGCATGCACTCTTTGTGTTCTCCCAAATTCTATTCTTCTCAATTCTTCATATCCGTTTCTTTTTTTTCTCTTTCCAAATTTATTTCACTGTATTATACTCCTTGAATAACATCTTCAAGCCCTAATGTTTCCGATTACTGCTTATACTCTTACAACACCTCTAACACTATGGGACTTGAATCGAGACTTGTATCTGTGTGTTAATGTGGTATGGTAACTGGAACTGATGTATGTACGTACAAAGTTCTACGTTGTTACTGACTGACTCTTTTTGGCTTCCCTTCAGGATCCCAAGTTAGGGCTTGCCTCGTGATACAGTTTGATGATTTCCACTTCCACTGTCTTTTCCTAATTTCCTCTTTAGTCAGTTACTTCTATTTCGTTAATGAACTTCATGAAGTAAAATGGATCTGCACTAGATCGTTTTTACTTAATAACTGGAAAGTATCATAGCTAGAGTAAAATCTAGTTCATCAGGATTCTACATTGTATAAAGTTGTAAATATATACCGTAAAAGTATATTCAACAAGAGAATGATAAAACAACTAGTCACCACTTCTTAATTTTAGATGTGGCAACTTGAACCGATGTATATATGTGCCTGGTCGTAAGTTGTAACGTACTGATTAACTGACTTCTTGATTTATAATTATTCGTCGACTGTTTCCCCATTATAATAATAGAAATTACTTTGACATTAGAGAAAAAAAAATCTCTTTTAAAACGAAGTAGAAGAAAACCATAAATCATTTGTGGTAATTTACAAATATGTTACTTCATTAAGTGTATCTTTATC